GATGACAATGAGTGTTCATCGAGGCACAATTGCGCTTCCGTGGGTGTTTGATGAGGATTGAGATCGCAAGCATGCATGCATCATCATCATAACATCAGTTTGTTTGATCCGATCACAGATCCATTTCGCGAACTTTTCTTTCAGCTAATCACCCTACTTCACCACCAACAGACTTGCTTGCCCCTTCCAACCGCTTCCTGCCATACAATCTAATCCTTCTCAAAATCTTTTGAGCACAATTTTTCTCTATCATCAATCATATCGCCTCACATTTTCCCACATCACTTCAAACAACACAATTCTTTAATAATCTCAAACCTTACCTCATACTCAACTGATTAACCGTTAGATTCTAATCATCAACAGCAGCTATGATGTGACTATGACCTTTATTTCATTCTCTGAAATGCACCATGCCGTAAAGTTCTGTTTCTTTTCACTTCTTCGAATTTCATCAAATGAAATGGTTTTATCGCACCAGTTGTTTCGCACTAATTCTATCCTTACTAAGTCCAATCATTTGGATCTACTGGTCAAATCCATTCGGAATTTTTCCATGTTCATGTCAGTGAGTAGCTTTCTTGAAGTAATCGTCAACCCTGAAGTCGTCTTTAGAATGAAGAATTATGTTTTCATATGGAATAATATGATCGACTGAGTTGAGTTTTGGCGTTCAACGGAAAATCTCGAAAAAGTAATCTGGAATTTATTTGAATAGAAAACGCTTAAAAGTTTTCCGATAATTTCATCCGTTCACGCCTAATTGTTTCCTGTTTAATTTTGTTTGCATGAAACGACGACATTTTTTGCACGTTGTGTTCTCATTCTGTTGTTAAGAAATGCATCACGTGCATCCTAAAAGTAAACACGTAGTTTAGCGCTATTCGAAGTGCTTGCTCTTTTGTGCTCGCAATTCACGAATGAATTTATCGTCAGTAGCTTAGCGAGCTTAAAGGCGATCATGCATTGAAAAGTTTTCCTGCCAATTTGCCATCCAATCAGCTTGCGTTGATCGCTGTACGCATTGCGTTTTGATTCCGATTCAAGTCGCTTGTTGAGCTTCGTTGCAATGTCTAAACTTAGTTCACCTCAAAAATAAGTTTCGGTTGCTAGGCAGGTATTCCATTGAAAATTGGCAGTGTGATTGATCGCTTTGATACTTTTTCCTTTGATTCAACGCAAGCAGCTAGAGTATTTCATTTGAGTTACGCTTCATCGATGGCAACCAACTGGAATACTTCTTTCAAAAGTTTCTGATTTGTGATGAATTTGGATAGTCCATCTTTGCAAAGTTGCATTTCACCCAATCGCTTCAATTTATGATTATCCTCGGTGTATTTCGCCGATTGAATGCACTGAACCATGGAGTACGCAAAAGTTTGTGAATTAAATCAACTAATTAATCCTGGTTTTGTATCGTCTGTTTGATCAATTCGATGAGATTTTTTTTCAGAAGCAGAGCAAAACTACAAACCGGATCGTACTCACGTGCTGTCACCGGTTGGAGCATTGACCACGACCAGGCATCGGACGAGAACAACATTGGCCAGCCATACGGTTTATGCAGTCAGGCCGACCACCCCCATGGGTGATATTATGACGACTACTTCGAAGGTGACAACTACCGATCATACTAGAGGAAGAAGTTACCCATAGGGGAGGAAGTTCCCCACTTTTGGGTAATTTGGGGGTATCAATGGGTAATATGGGGGGTACGAGAAATTAATTCTGACCCTATGCGTGGAAATGCTCACTTATTGTATCGGCAGGAGAAGGGGGAGGGAGGTTGGGCGATGAAGGGTTGCCAGATCATCGACGAGGGTAATGGAGCCCACAAACGTGGGTATCACTAGAATACAGTGTTACTTACTCTGTTATTGCTAGACGTATTGATCATAGTGACATTTTGAACCTAACGCCAACGTTTCATATTAAGGGCTCCGCAACTCCGAACGACTTCCCACGAACTGCACTAATTTCAATTGCCTCTTTATCGGTTATTATCATTATTGCCATTGTCGTCTTCTGCGTATTCAGGTCAGTGCTTCCTTTCTGCCTCGGTGATGTCGTTTCTATAACTCAATAATCCCACGATTTGATTTTTCATTGATTTTTCATTTGTAACGAGACTGACACAAAACTTACAATGGATTCAATCGTCGGAATTTCTTTCGAAGATCAACTTCAGCAAATGGACTCCATTCAGAAAGCGCTCATCACAATTGAAATCATTTCAGGTGTCGTCAAAGTGGACCGTCGACGGACCAGTATCCAATGGTGTGCAATGGGAAACAATCCGGTTACGCACCAATACCCACCGAGATGTCTCCACAAATGGTGCATCATGATGCGGCGGCCGCGCATCATGCGTCACCATCGGTCGGTGGACCGTTCCTTCAGACCCGTGTCAACCAACTGAACGGCTATCAGCCAATCAAGGGTGCCGTTATACCGAGTGCTGCCGGCGGCTCAAAGAGCGGAAACGGTATGGCGAGTGGTGGAGCGAGGAAGAAAGAATTCAAAGAGTGGTATGTGTGACCATGGTGAAGTGACTGTTGATCGATGATGTCCTTGTCGCTTTTTCGATTTTATTGTCCGTCTTTTAATCAGCTAGTCAAATATCACAACTCAGTTCTCCTTCAAATTTCGTCATTTTTTGATTTCTGGCTTTTTTAAAGCTATGTTGAGGTCTGTCAAAAATTACCGAAATTCGACTTTCAATTTTTTGATTTATTTTTTTTTT